AACTGATCCTCATACTGACTCACTGCAGACTCGGCCATTTCTTTGGAGATAGTTTAAATAGCTCTAATAGAAACTGCTCTGCCAGAAGTAAATCATTGAAGAAAGAGAAGGTAAATCCACATGTAAATCATTAATGAATAAGCACGTCTAAAAATCTACAAATTGCTTAAAGTTTTGTGTATCATTATAAAAGAATACTCCTTAGCGCTTCACCCGTGATCAAAAGAATAAACATGACATCGAGACTAACATAGTATTATTATTAAACATACAGGCCTACGGTAGAAGACTAATTTCATGCATTTTTTTCAAGGCAAGGAAAAAACATTGGTAAAACCATTATTTAACGTTTATGTTCTTACCTGTTTTTGATTATCTTACCTTTTTTTCCAAATAAAATTCAAATATATTGCCTCCTTACAGCTTTAAGCAAACAAGAAGAGCGTGGATCCAGAGGCTCCTGTAGCAGGGAAATTGGTTTCGTTTCTCTTGAATCCACACACTTCCTGGTTTGCTCCTGGTTTACTATATCTCGACACACCAACTGCAGTAGCCAAAGAACGCAAAAATCACTAAGAAGCAGCGGAATGGAGCATGCAACCACTTATCAAAGCTACAAAAAATGTCATTTAAAAAAGCAAGAACAAGAAGAGCGTGGATCCAGAGGCTCCTGTAGCAGGGAAATTGGTTTCGTTTCTCTTGAATCCACACACTTCCTGGTTTGCTATATCTCGACACACCAACTGCAGTAGCCAAAGAACGCAAAAATCACTAAGAAGCAGCGGAATGGAGCATGCAACCACTTATCAAAGCTACAAAAAATGTCATTTAAAAAAGCAAGAAAAGGGTTGATTTGGCATTAAACGACAACTTACTGTAATCAAACCTATACCTTAAAACATAACATTTACTTACCTTATCTGTCACGTAGTAACGACAACGGTAAATTAAGATATTCTCCCATAGTATAGTACAACCTCACGAGGTAGCAGTTAAAGTCGCTCCTGCACAATAGAATGGTGTCCAATAACATACAAATTTTTTTATTTGTTTTAACTGCTGCTAATCGTCCAACCATCTGTGTGTAATATGATTAAATCATTGGTGATTTCATGTTGGCTGGACACAATGACATTGGCAAACCTACACAGAAAACATGTCTTGTTTAAAAAGAGAGAAAATTAGGTAAGTCAGCTGCTGTGGAGAAAACCGACAATATCACACAGATTCTTCAGACAAAATATTTCCTAAAACCGCTATTTTATAAATACAAATGTATGATTTCATTCGATTTTTTATTTTATTTTATTACACATTACAGTATAAATTATACATTAAACCAAAGAAAAACCAATATAAAGATGAATCTTTAAAGATTATGCCTCTTCTTAAAGGTTTTACAGGTATTTCTCAGCTTTTTGCCAACACTATTGGATATTGTAGTTATGAAATAGCAAAAGAATCAAGTCAACTCAGGTGTCCAAGCTCTAAAGAAATCATTTATAAAGAAAGAAATTGCTAAATTAACAGGTAACACACACACACACACAAAATGCTGCTACATTTAATAATAATACATGTGTGAAGTAAAATATAATTATTTTGTCAACAGCATAACCTGTAAACGCAGTCTAATAGTTTCCACGACCAGTTTTCTTTTACATATTAACCCTGACACCTTGCTGGCTTAATGATGAACTGCATCATGGATTCAGACATTATTATTATAATGAGCTACAGAAATATTGCCGAAGATGAGCACTTTCAGATTACAGAAGACACAAAATCTTTATAACACCTGATTTTGGAACATCTGATAACGTACTATAGATTTATTTACTGATATCCAGTTTGACAGTCTCAGGTGTGTGTTGTGTATTTATTGTTGGTGTTCAAGAAATTGTATGTCTTTTGTTCAGCCAAACTACACATTTCAGGATTTCAGCAGCTGAATTTGAACCTTGAACAATTATGTTTTTTTATCGTCTATCTGAACTTTTCTCTGCTCTATGATCCTGACAGATGAACCTTTCCCAGTTAGAAATGCAGGGTAGAGGGGTTCAGTGAATGTGGTCTGGACTCTGTGTAGTAGAGTCATTGTGTCAGAGACGCTGTAGAAGCACAGAGTTCCTGCTCTGTGATCCAGATACACTCCTATTCTAGAGGAGCGGACAGCAGGTATATAGACTTCTTTATTATTATGTATGAAATGGGCATTCTGCTGATAGCGGGACAATCTCCATGATTTTTTGTTGGAGCCAAGTCTACAAGCATCACTTCTTCCTTTACGATCAATTCCTTTGTAACAAACTGCTACAGCCCAAATGTCCCCACAGCACTCAACCTCCCAGTAACAGCAACCGTACAAACCCTCTCTACACAAGATGTAATGAAACCCATCAAATCGCTCTGGGTGATCAGGATATTGCTGGGCTTCATATAAACCCAATATTTTCCTGTTCTCTTCAGACAGTTTAAGTTCTTTGTGTGCAGTGTTTGGATCCATTTGAAGTTGACAGAAATCTGAGGAATAGGAATATGAACTTTATTATTATTTTCTAAAATTCTCGTTTTGCTTTTTGATGATATTTACAAATTAATATGTGTGTTTGTGAAAAAAATAACTTGACATACATTGCCAAAATGTATCTGGAGTATTTGGCTCTGGAGTCTGTGCAACATGGACATTTGACACTGAGAAGACGAGAAGAAACACAATTGTACAGTCAATGTTTAGGTTTAATCCTACATAGTATGAATGCCACATTTTATATTCCAAGGAAATAAGAATTCAGACCTTCTCGAAAAATTCTGGCTGTTTGCTGTTGACAGACGTCCTCCAAAACCTCTCTGAATGCTGAGATTGAAATGTCTTTAAAAGACAGATGAGTGTGTTGAGTGAAGCTGGGAACGTCTTCATATGAGGGTAAAACACACACAGACTGACAGCTCTGAAATGAAAAAAATACAAGATAGATTTTTTTATAAAACACAAAACAAGCATGACACATTGGAGTTTCATTTAATCGATTCTTAACATTTTTGCATCATTACCTTCAGACAGTGGATCTGATCATCAGTAATCAGAAGTTTCTCGATCTCTGCTTGTCTTTTTCTGAGTTCTGTCAGCTCTTGATCCAGATGTTTGTGAAGTTTCTCAGCTCGATCTATCTCAGTCTTCTCCTGATCTCTGATCTGCTCTTTAATCTCAGAGCGTTTCTTCTCCAGAGAGCAGATGAGCTCAGTGAAGACCTTCTCAATGTTCTCCACGGCCTCTTGTGCTGAACTCTGTTGGACAGGAACAACAGCCTAAATACTGTATTTATGTGACCAATATCAATTAATTTTGTCATAGTTCTTGTCCAAATCAAAACAGTCAAATGAACTAGCAAAATTAAAATGTCACCAGTTTATTATGCCTCTCTTTTATTATTATTTTGCCTCTTTTTTTAACTTGCATCTTGTGATACTCACTTTAAAAGACTTCACAGCTTCACTGAGTTCCTGCTGACCTCTTTCTCGTTCCTCAATCAGCTTTTGACACACCACCTTTATCTCCTTTAACTCTTTCTGAGGATGTTAATGTACAAAATTAATGTTAAAACGTAGAAATATAGTTACACCTTGCCAATCTCATTTTGTGATCATTAAATATCAAATAAAATATGTCATAAAAAGGTAATAAGGAAGAAGTAGAATAGGTACTGATATAGGCCTAATAAGCATTCATTACCTTTTTACTAGTCCATTCTGAATCCATAGATACAACATTGTGGTTTTTATGATTGCCAGTCATACACAAACAACAAATGCATTGACGGTCATCCTGACAGTAAATCTCCAGAGGTTTCCCATGACTGAGGCAGATGTTCTCCTGAATGTGTCTGGAGGCTTCGACTAGTTTGTGCTTCATAAACGCAGGAGATTGATAGTGAAGCTGCAGGTGAGTTTGACAGAAGGAGGCCAAGCACTGCAGACAGGACTTTACAGCTCTGCTCTTCTCCGTAGTGCAAACATCACACTCCACAGCAGCCGTTTGTAGAGACGTCTTCTGCAGCGTCTCCATCATCTCTGCTATCAGAGTGTTCTTCTTCAGTAGAGGTCTCTGACTGAAGCTCTCTCTGCATTGGGGACAGTGGTACGGTGGCTCCTGCTCCTTCTGGCCCCAGCAGTCAGTAATGCAGCTCATACAGTAACTGTGTCCACAGGGAATCGTCACCGGCTCCTTCAGCCGATCCAAACAGACTGAACAGATGAACTGATCCTCATACTGACTCGCTGCAGACTCGGCCATTTCTTTGCAGATAGTTTAAATAGCTCTAATAGAAGTAAATCCTTAAAGAAAGAGAACATAAATTCACATGTAAATCATTAATGAAAGAGCAAGTCTAAAAATCTACAAAGCACTTACAGTTTTGTGTATTAAGAATAGTCCTAAAGGCTTCAACCATAACCAAAATGATAAACATATGACATCAAGACAGCATTAAACACATACAGTAATACCGTTCTTCTTCTTCTTCTTTTTCCCAATGCAAGCAAAAAAGACAGGTAAAACTATTTTCTATAGAAGAGTGTGGATCATTAAAGCTGCAGTCGATAACTTATTTTGGTTAAAAATTATCCGAAATCAATATTTGAGCAAGTACATAACCAGTCAGTGTTCAAAACTATCGCCTTACTTTAGCCAGATTCACAACGGTTAGCTTATAATAATGTTTCAGTGTTAACAGTTACGGGTAGGTTTTTGCGGGAAATTCGAGCATGGCACTGCGTCATTACGTCACGTCTGTAAACATAAAAAAGTTGTCCCGGCCATAACTGCCAAGTCCTTGTATTATGCACGACTTTGGGCTTCTTTTTTTGTAAAGTTGCGTGAAAAAATCCCTGGTTGGGGGTTGCAGTTTTTTGGGCTTATTTTAAAAAATATGGTTGCTTGTTAGGGAAATCTGACAAGCAACTTTGTTTCTTTATTTATGTTTGCCATATTCTCCAATGCATTGGTTGACACTCTGTCTGCTCACAGTTAATAGCCAACCAGTGCAATAATATAAGTGCTGCAGCTTAATTTGTCAAATGTTCCGCCCCCTCCTCCCCCCCATTGGAGAAAATCACATTCAAAAGAAGGTGTGTGACGCTGTAATAAAAGCGATGATAGAAGTAGACGTAGTGGAGTGGGATTACTTTCTTTTAGCCTAATTTTTAATTTTTACAATGTTTTTGTAATGTATTAATTATCATGGGCTGTAATAAAAAACAAGTAGTCCTATACTAATACTAAAACTATATAGCCTATACATTTGGTTCGAATAGCCTATATTTTAGTAGGCTATAAATATGTGGCTGTGTTACAGTTCCCCTTTGAAGCTCTTCTGTTTTTCTCCTTTTGCATCTCTCCAATCCTATTCTGCTCAACAGGTGATTGGAGATGAGTTTTTTGTTCTCACTTTGTTGCAGTTTGCTGATTTTTGTAAAATAACATATCTGTTTTTGCTTTTCAGATAAAAGAGTGGTTTCAGTTTAATATGTTGCAGGTTCATTTATTGGTAATAAATAATTGATAATAAATAATATTGATGATAATAAATCATCAAAAAAAAATATTGGGCTTGTTTTTTAAGCTGCGGTTGCTTATTTATCTTGTGAGAGTTGGCAACAGTGGTCCCGTCTACTAGGCTATCGCATGTGAGGATCCTGCAGGTGGCAGATCGTTAGCCTTTTCTCACAGCAGCTGGAATAATTAAATGCATAATTTTGATGGCAGATTGTAATCCAGAAAGAACTATGTGTTTATGAAACACATGTGAATGAAATTAAATTATATTCCAGTTATAACTGTGCTTCTGATTAAAGATAGCCTGGGATTACAAAGATTTGTATTTTAAAGAAAACCAGTTCGAAGGGAGCATAATTTGCTTTTTGGGTTAAAATAATTTCTTAATATGAAATTCAAAGAGTATGACAATTAGATTAGACTGTGCAGAAATTGAAATCTACACGCTAATACACACTATACTCATAGTCACCAATGCTGATGTTTTTTACATTAATTATTTGAGAATAAAGTATAACAATAATAATAATTTGAATGGTTTGATGTGATATGAGCTAACCGATCTTTAGATTTAATCACCATTGGTAGCGAGATTTATTGTAATGCTTTTTTCCTCAGTTGGTCAGAACAAAAGTGGCAGACTTGTTACTTGTTCAGATGGCAATATATGGTGAAAATTCTTATTTGGGTCATATTCCAAGACGTAGGCTAGAATCTGTGATTGCGAAGCACAGTAAATATCCACACCGGTGCGGTGACTGACTGCCACACATACTCTTCAGAACATTAGATTCATCCGCGCTGGAGCCGTGCCGACTCACAACCCATGCAAGCTAATTCGAGAAGGGTATAACTGCAGCCTGGAGATCCTCCAAGTAGATATAACTGCAGACCGGAGATCTCCAAAATGGGGCGTGAACTCCAAAAGTGGGCAGCACCTCCAAAATGGGGCGGGGTCTCCTCACGCAAAGACTTTCACCATTGGCTCTGGCTCCAGCCAATTGTTATTGACTTACATTTCAAAATAAAACTTTCTAAATTAAACATTGTTTCTAGTTCATCTAAAATAAAATATGCTATATAAGTAAATATTCTCCGTGAGAGCAGAGCCCAAAGCTCGTGGCCAGTGGTGTTTGGACTGGAGTTTGAACCTCTGCTTAATGATATAAACAGGAATCACCCACGAGCTCTCCCGCGAGCCGTCCCGGCGCAGTGCAGGGGAACGATTTCACTATTGCTTTGTTCTAAGCAACGGGGGCGTCCCGGGGCTTGAAATTCGCAGGGAAGGAGTGGGTAGTGACGCTGGGTGTAACTAAAAAGGTGCCATTGTCCGGTGAGGTCCGGTTGGGGAGTTACGGAACGATCTCTATCGCATAATCTTATTAACTGTTTATCTCCTGAACTGCATTTTTCTTTACCACGCTATTTAGCGCCAATCCCGCCGTGCAGTCAATTTCACTGGTTAAAGTTAGGGTCAGGTGTGGGGTAGGTTTAGGGGTTAGCATTGTTTGTAGCATAGTGTAGGAAATCGACACTTTAATTGACACAACCAATAAAATCTTTAGTATCAGCTGTGGGGCGGAGTTTGCACTGAAGTGGATTGGAGGAAAAAGTGTGCATGCGTGTCATGTGCCTGTCTGCCAATGGGAGGAAGCCACGCCCTATTTTGGCACTCCCACCCCGTTTTGGAGTTCCCGCCCCCATTTGGAGATCTTCAGGCTGCAGAATTCTGCACTCATCTGCAATTCCAGGTTTTCAAACAGAGATGTCGACAGAGGCAAAACTTACGGACTGCAGCTTTAAGCAGAGACAGCTTGTTTAGCAGAGAAATAGGTTTCGTTTCTCCTGAATCCACACACTTCCTGGTTTTCAGATCGGGAGAGCGAAGACCAAAAGGCTTTTCACACTGAGCTTAACTCCGGGTTATCGTATTTCTAAACACTGCTGAGTTATAGAGACATTCTCAAAAGCCTTGCAGCATTGCATGGAATCCTTTTAAGTGAGAGGCATCTACATCAGTTTATGAGAATGAGGACAGACAGGAAGTAGAACGAATTATTATTTTGTGTGCACGATTCTCAGCCTCTATCCTGTAAAAAGGGCTGTTTTGTCAAGAAAACATGTTATTTGTTATATATCTTTTGTCAGAATTCCTGTAAACAGCAACAGTAAAATGGATGGACAATCTATATGTACTCTACCAGAAAAGATACTTTATATTTTGCATGTGCTATATAGTTTTATTTCATTTTACTACATTTAGCTGATTTATTTCCATGCAGTGGACAGGAGTGTAAAAGTTGCGAAAGTGAAAGTATGGACACTCTATAAAAGATTTTAGAATTTTTAAGTCCAGGTAGGCTACCTAACCAAACATTTATTTGTGTGAAAAGTTTCCACAAATAATGGTAACAACCTTAATCACTATTTATTTGTATTTTTTTACTTTAAGAATAAATTCTGTTCTAAGCTAATCAACAGCAGACATTTGCTGTCAATAAAACTTCATTTGAATTTAGTCCAGAATAGTCGTGATCAACACAGAAATATGCAATTTTAATGAAGCTATAGAGAATAAAAAGTATAGGTTTTGTAGAATAGTTTGTATAAAAATATAATACTAACGTTTTTGACAAATAAAAACAAAATTTTGTTTCACCACGCATGTCACATGAATAGAAACATGATATATTTTTAAAAGCAGACAACGTGACAAAGCCGTTACCATTGGATCTTATCAAGTCCTTACCTACTTCAACAGACACACAACACGAATATTATCTGTTTTACAGCTTTGGCCCAAAGAACAGCTGCGTGGATCTATTGAGGTTGAAGCACAGGTTTTGTTTCTATTGAACTCAAATACTTCCTGGTTTTCTGTGCGTAAACAAAATGGGTGTTCACTGTGCCCCAAAGGAAAGAGAGAAATAATTACTACGAGAGTGTTAAGAAAATAAAATAGCCTAAATGTAATCTATTCAGAAATGTAATTATCCAATTCATAATTCAAAGCAAAAGCACGTAATAATAAAAACAATATAGCCCATGTCACCTTTCAAATCTATTAGTTACTATGGAAAAAAATGCTAAAAAGATGTGGTGATAATATAGCATAATGAGAGATTTACAAGCCATTTTTAAAATGCTGGTCATTTTTGTCTGGGAACACCAAAGTAGGTAAAGGATTTTTGGCACAGCAAAGCTGAAAGAATAAACAACTCAAAATGTGTAACAATAGCAATACAAAAAGTTTATTACCCTAACGCAGATCTTCTCATTTTAAAATATCAATTAAAACATCTGTATGTCAATAGAATCCATAAAAGGAGGGAAACGCTTTCATGAAATAGGTCAGGCCTGCTAATGCACACTGCCTCGTTTTGCCCCCTGTAGAGGACAGAGGAAGAGAAGAAAACAGAAAACCCACAGCAAGTACTTCAAAAAATGAGCAAAATGCTCTTAAAAACCTTTAATTACCTTTACAGTGCAAACCTTCTCATACACAGCCACCAAGCACATAATACATCCTACTAAAGCCACAAAGCTCACAAATAACAAAAAACAAAGATACAATGCAAACAGTATTCAGTTCAGTACAGGATCTATACCTAAGATAAACCAAACAAAAGAAAACTTAAAAGCACAATAAGAAATAGTGTCTGGGTTGCCCCTTTAAAAAGAAACAATACCTTAATTGCCAGCCACACAACCCACATTATAATATTATAAATAAAAAAAACACATACTTTAGCCAATGCACAACTGCAGTAACCCACAGCTTCCAAATCTCAGCAGGCCTACCCAACAAACTCCCACACTATAGGTGCAGAGGAAATACTACAAACAAAAGAAAAGTGATTGTGACTTTTAATCTCACAATTCTGACTTTTTTCTTGCAATTCTGACTTTATATCTCGCAGTTCTGAGAAGAAAAAAAAGTTGGAATTGTGTGATATAAACTCGCAGTTGTGAGGGAAAAAAAGCTGCGTTTACCTTTTTTATTTTATATTCCATGGCAGGGAAAAAAAACAATGGCAAGATGTAAACTCAGAATTCAGAGAATAAAAGTCAGAATTGCGAGATGTAATCAAAGAACTGCAAGAAATAAATTACATTTTTTATTTATTTAATCTTGTGGTAGTAAGGGCCGTCCATACGAATATTATCCACGTCAGTAAGAAAAATTTGGGTTACAGATCACTTGTACCCAGTCCGTCTCAAAGAATGTCATTAAACCTATGGTAAAATATGTAATTTTTTACAGAAATTAAAATGAGGCTGGTAGGGATAGAAATACTGTGAGTCCAATTTTTGCACAAGTTTTGTTTAACAACATACTGATTGTTCAGCTGACGAAAAGAAAGAAAAAAAAAAACAGGTTTTGTTGCCACTGCTGTCATTGCTGGCCAGTCAACTCACGTTTAAAGGTGCTGTATGTAAGTTTTTGACTCTACTAAAGCATAAAAATACCATAATATGTTTGCAGATATTTAAGAAACATGCCAAGTTAACATATTTGTTTATCTGAAAACAATGCTCTTCCCACTACAAATCTCATATTAAAATTTAGTATCCCAAATTAAATAAATCTACAGGCCATTATCATAATGGAAGCCCTTTTAATTTCTAAACTGATGGAATAAATCATACAATGTTGATTTTCAGATCATTAAGTCAAGATTAATGAGAGCAAAACCATTCAATAAATGGGTTGAGATGATTTATGGTAAAACTTTGTCATACATTCTGTTTTTATATTTGGCCTTTTTTAACTTCCCTCTGCTCTATGATCCTGACAGATGAACCCAACGCAGCAAAAAATGCAGGGTAGAGGGGTTCAGTGAATGTGGTCTGGACTCTGTGTAGTAGAGTCATTGTGTCAGAGACGCTGTAGAAGCACAGAGTTCCTGCTCTGTGATCCAGATACACTCCTATTCTAGAGGAAGGAGGGATACGGACCTGTGCTTTACCATGCATGAAACAGAAATTCTGTAGATAATAGCCCAATCTCCAGGATATTTTGTTCAAGCCAAGTTTACAGTCATCACCACTGTTTCCTTTACGACCAATTCCTTTGTAACAAGCTGCTACAGCCCAGTTGTTCCCACAGCACTCAACCTCCCAGTAACAGCGACCGTACAAACCCTCTCTACACAAGATGTAGGGAAACCCATCAAATCGCTCTGGGTGATCAGGATATTGCTGGATTTGATCTGAACTTGATGCTTTTCTGTTCTTTACTGACAGTTTGAGGGTTTTGTTTGCAGTGTTTGGATCCAAGTTAAGTTGACAGAAATCTGAGGAGGAGGAATGAATAAAAAATACATTTGAACAAATTTGGTTTTAAAATGGTCACAAAAATGGTAACAGTTCATATCCACTGATGTTTATCAGTTAATGAGTGTTTGCCTTGAAGTTCAACTTACACTGCAAAAAATCATTTTGGGTCTTTAGTTCTGGAGTCTTTGCAAAATGGACATTTGACACTGAAGAGAGAAAACCAAACAAGTGCACGGTTAATTTGTTGGTTAACTCCTACAGAGTATGAATGACAATACAACATATTAAAAGATTCAGACCTTCTCGAGAAATTCTGGCTGTTTGCTGTTGACAGACGTCCTCCAAAACCTCTCTGAATGCTGAGATTGAAATGTCTTTAAAAGACAGATGAGTGTGTTGAGAGAAGCTGGGAACTTCTTCAAATTTGGGTAAAACACACACAGACTGACAGCTCTGAAATGAGAAAAATACAAAATAGATTTTTTTATAAAACACAAAACAAGCATGACACATTGGAGTTTCATTTAATGGATTCTTAACATTTTTGCATCATTACCTTCAGACAGTGGATCTGATCATCAGTAATCAGAAGTTTCTCAATCTCTGCTTGTCTTTTTCTGAGTTCTGTCAGCTCTTGATCCAGATGTTTGTGAAGTTTCTCTGCTCGATCTATCTCAGTCTTCTCCTGATCTCTGATCTGCTCTTTAATCTCAGAGCGTTTCTTCTCCAGAGAGCAGATGAGCTCAGTGAAGACCTTCTCAATGTTCTCCACGGCCTCTTGTGCTGAACTCTGTTGGACAGGAACAACAGCCTAAATACTGTATTTATGTGACCAATATCAATTATTTGTATTATTCCATTATCATAAATGAATCTTGCAAAATAATTTTTTTTGCCTATTTATAGTGGATTAGTTTTAAAGGTGGGGTAAGCGATTTTTCAAAAACGCTTTAGAAAACTGATTTGGGCCGACTAGCAAAACAAACTTGTAGCCAATCAGCAGTAAGGGGCGTGTCTACTCATGATGTGGAGGAGAGAGAGTTCAGTGTACAGGACGGACATTAGCGAGCCGCGCGACAGAAAGATAGAGATGGCGGATAAAAAACAAAAGAGAAAAACGTCTGCGGAACAAAAGAAGGCTTAAGGCAATAAGGCCAGATGTAGGACCCGTGTAAATATCGGATCGGCTTTCCAGCGCTGGAGAGAACTCAAGGAGCGGAAGGCCTGTGATCGGATGCCGATGTTGCTTTGTTTCTTCTCGATAGGTGAGTAACACCGTGTCTGCGCCGCAACAGCTAAAGTCTGTCTAGTACACCGTTGAAAATCATTTGAAACTTGTGTCAATACGTGTTGCGTTGGGGATTTGTCGTGTTGCGCCGTGCCACATCCAGTGTAGACCATAGATATGTATATATATCTAAGGTGTAGACAGTATCACTGATTATAATGAGTTCCATAGTATTTTGTTGCACCGCGCCACTCGCGTCCGGTGTAGACACTGTGTAACATTGGTTTTGCTTTGTTTCACAGAACTAATTGTTGCCCGGGTTGCGTATGTATGTATGGGGCAGAGCTATCAAAATAGGGGCGAGACCCTTTTGGGGTAGGGGCATGTTTGTTTTGGTGATTTCAAATGTCAACATTGGCTACTAGAAATTGCTTACCCCACATTTAAAGTGATGTTTCTGAAAATAAATAAATAAAACAAAAAGGTGTTTTTGTGTTTGTGTGCACACAAGAACAATTTCGATCTAGTTTTTTTTTTTCATACTTGCAAATTTCACTGAAGATTGTCTGTAGGATTCTGTATTAATATGATGCATTGCATTTATTGTTTTATTCTCTTTTCTCCCCCATTCAGGGAAGTTGTGGCCTAAGGGTTAGAGAGTCAGACTCGTAACCCAAAGTTTGCGGGTTCGAGTCTCGTACCGGCAGGGATTGTAGGTGGGGGAGTGAATGTACAGCGCTCTCTTCCACCTTCAATACCACGACTGAGGTGCCCTTGAGCAAGGCACTGAACCCCCAACTGCTCCCCGGCCCCGCAGCATAAATGGCTGTCCACTGCTCCGGGTGTGTGTTCACTGCTGTGTGTGTGCACTTTGGATGGGTTAAATGCAGAGCACTAATTCTGAGTATGGGTCACCATACTTGGCCACATGTCACGTCAATCAAAGATTTACTCACTTTAAAAGATTTCACAGCTTCACTGAGATCTTGCTGACCTCTCTCTCGCTCCTGGATCAGCTTTTGACAAGCCATGTTTATCTCCTTTAACTCTTCCTGAGGATGTTAACATACAAAATCATTAAATAACAAAAGTAGAAATACACACCTTGCCAATCTCATCTTGTAATTGTTAAATATCAAGTAAGATGATGTGTACTATTATCCTAGTAATTTAATTAATTAAAATAAATAACTATCAACTCAGGAAAAAAATGACAACTACCTGAAAATAGCATTCATTACCTTTTTACTAGTCCATTTTGAATCCACAGATACCATATTGTGGTTTACATGACTGTCAATCATACACAAATAACAAATGTATTGACGGTCATCCTCACAGAAAATATCCAGAGGTTTTTTATGACTGAGGCAGACGTTCTCCTGAATGTGTCTGGAGGCTTCGACTAGTTTGTGCTTCATAAACGCAGGAGATTGATAGTGAAGCTGCAGGTGAGTTTGACAGAAGGAGGCCAAGCACTGCAGACAGGACTTTACAGCTCTGCTCTTCTCTGTAGTGCAAACATCACACTCCACAGCAGCCGTTTGTAGAGACGTCTTCTGCAGCGTCTCCATCATCTCTGCTATCAGAGTGTTCTTCTTCAGTAGAATTGTCTTTCGAAGTTGTAAATAAAAATTAGCTCTTGGAACGTGTTTTACAAGAAAATTGTATTTTTGACTTTATACCTCAAAATGTCACCTTTTTTCTCGTCAGCATGTAGCTAAAGTCGCAATAGCAATAGCCTTTTGTTACTCATAGCCCTTAGGCTGATATGATACATGGGGCAACTTTTTTTGAGCGATGCTGCTTGAGCACTTGAGAACCCTGTTGAAAAAAACAGCATATGCTGGTTAGGTATGTTTTGACGCTGGGATGCTGGTCCTTTGCCAACACATGACCAGCATAAACCAGCAAAAGGACCAGCATAAACCAGCAAAGGACCAGTTAAACCAGCAAAGGACCAGCATAAACCAGCAAAGGACCAGCATAAACCAGCAAAGGACCAGCTTAAACCAGCAAAGGACCAGCATAAACCAGCAAAGGACCAGCATAAACCAGCAAAGGACCAGCTTAAACCAGCAAAGGACCAGCATAAATCAGCAAAAGGACCAGCATAAACCAGCAAAGGACCAGCATAAACCAGCAAAGGACCAGCTTAAACCAGCAAAGGACCAGCATAAATCAGCAAAAGGACCAGCATAAACCAGCAAAGGACCAGCATAAACCAGCAAAAGGACCAGCTTAAACCAGCAAAGGACCAGCATAAACCAGCAAAGGACCAGCATAAACCAGCATCCCAGCGTCAAAACATACCTAACCAGCATATGCTGGTTTTTTCAACAGGGAATGGGTAACAAATGTGTATCTGGATACTTTAGATCGGTCGTGGGCCCCGTGTCTCACCTGGTTGCTCGTTAACAGCAACATTGCTCAAAAAGTTGCCTCGTGTATCATCAGCCTTATTATGGAAGCCCATTTCCGCCACTGAATAAAGATTTTTTTTAAAAGGTTGTTGCGACTTTTCTTTCACATAATTGTGAGATATAAACTCACAATTCTGAGGATTTTTTCTCATAATTGCCTGATATAAACACAGTTGCGTGATAAAAACTCGCGATTCTGTCTTTTTTCTCGCAATTATGAGGGTGAAAAACCGGTCAGAATTTTGAGATAAAAAGTCGCAATTACTTTTTTTATTTTTATTCAGTGGCAGAAACGGGCTTCCATAGGCCTTATAGTCAGGGTAGCGCCAAATGTAACTTTTTTTGACAGGAATGAAGGCTGTGAGGGACTGAAGTAGGCTACAGTGCGTTCAGTGGATTGGACTGTTGTTCAAACATTCTCCATTTCAGCTGAAACCTATTTCTGAAAAACACTTTCTGACAGTTTCTGTAGACAAAAACTCCATAAAAGTCTTGACAGGTGCCAGTCTTGAAAATTAATACGGTGCGTGCCATTGTAAGCCTATACCTCACTTCCTCGTTTTCATGGGTATTAAATTCAATATGGCACCTAAGCTGACTGAATGTCTATTTTGATGTCAGCCTATATCTGAGCGAAACTTGAGAAAAACTAACTCTTGAATGTTACTTGCTGATCATTTTTTTACACCGACTTTTTTGTCAGTGTAAAAAAATTCCTGACCTTTTGTGTAGTTATTTAAATAAAAGTATAAAAATCTCTAAAAGCTTTGTTGCCTAAAGGAACTGATAAGCACGTGTTTACATTTAAGCATTCTTTAACAGATTAAGACTTTTTTCAACACAGGCAAATCTAAAACAATTAGCTCCATATTAATTAATTTCTTACCTGCTTGGACAATTAAACAAGTTGTTTCCTCGCGTGCAGATCTGACCCAAACTACAGCAGTTTGGACCTGTGAATGCTGAACCACTCGTGTAACGAGTTTAAAGTAAGTTTTGTGTCACTGGAATTCACACACACATTTCCTGATTTTCCATATGTCAAACAAAATTCCTCAGTGCATGTGAGAAAGTAAAAATAAAGCAAAGAAGAACAGCAGTGTAAAGGAGGCCGTGTCTAACAACACAGTAAAAACACACAATTCAGAAATGTCAAACTTTTGTTCAGTGAGAGTCATATCTCTAAGACAAAACCCAAAATATACATGTCCTTCTTTGTTTTCTTAGATGCATTTATTTTCCATCTGCTGAATATCAATGTCATAATGAACAGTGACAACAGAGCAGGTCACACCAAACTGACTGTAAACAAAACCAAACACTGAAAGAAAAAAACTAAACAAAACACTGGACTTGTGACATACCATGAAGGCATAAAAGAGTGAGAGAACGAGATACAAAACTGCATCATAAAGAAAAACATGCATTTTGACAATATTTGATGTTTTTCTGTCTGCAATGCAAAAAAAAAAAATCTTTATTTCGGTCTTGTTTTCCTGAAAAAAAAACGAAAACATTCTTATAACAAGATTAATTTACTTGAAATTGAGAAACAAAAATATAAATATGATTCGAATATAAATACAGATAGATATAAAGACATTCTCAGTAAATATACACTGCAATTTTTTCTTAACAAAATAAAAAGAAATTTGCCAATGAGTCAAGTATAAATCTAACAAAACAGATTTATGCTTTAAGTTATAATGATGAAGTATTAATACATTGTAATCATTAAAATTACTTAATGTTAAAAATAGTTTAATTCATGATATACTGTCTAAAAATGTCTTAATATCTAATGCAATTTTGCTTCTCAATCAAACTGATCTTATTCAAAGGATTTCTTGGTATTTTTACAGCAAAACGACAAAAATGCTGTTTTCTTTTGCAGAGACTCTTTTCTATGGCATTTAGCACAGCGGCCTTTGATTTTTTATTTTTTGTGTGTGTTTTTGGGATGGGGTCAACAACATGGCGACAAAATTTTTTTATTTTGTGTTGCAGTGCAATGGCTTGCATGCATAATACTTGCTTTTCTTTCTTTTTAAAAATTTCAAATGATTATTTCTTTATCATTATTCATTACCTTCTTTCATTAATAATTCTGCTGCTGAGTACATATATTTATTAAAGTTTTTTTGTGCCAACAACCTATTTTGGCTGCAATGATTGTTACATTCATGTGTTAAGGTTAAATAGGGGCTACAAACACACAATAACGGGAATAAACAGACAAATATGACACTCTGAGACTAGCACACAATCACCTGTACAGTGTTAAAACAACTAAACACACTCTTAGACATCTGTTTTTGCATACATGTGTGCACACAGTGTCAGTTATATGCATCAGATCTTTTTGCTTTTGCATTGCATGGTTGTAAGTGCAACCTGATTGGCTGTTCCCAGACAGGAAGCGAGCCTCAGATTGGATCCTCTCCAAATCCTTTCCAGCTCAAATCTCGAGAAAATCCAGTGAAGCTTTGATCGCCATCATAGCATCGCAATGATGCCGACAAACCTCTCAAACACCTGCCAACATAAGAACAGCTTCTCTGACAGAAATAACCTGCTGAATCCACATACAAGATCTATCTGACTTGAAGTGCTGTTTGAGATGTAAAAACGAACTCTGAGGAGGCTAAAGCTGAACTGACTGTCAAGGCTTTTTAGAAGCAGCATCATTTTAAGCAACATTAAAAGACAGAAAGTTAAGGAAAACCAAGAAACGAGAACATTGTTTTCTAGACACAACCTTTTTAGTCCTTTTCCTTTTTCTCCTAACACCTTCCTCTCAGAAGACACTCCCAAATTGTGAATGAAACTACAGAACTCTTCGTCCATGAATACGGAGGCACCTCAGGTCAAAGTTTAGCCATCAAGCAGGTAGACGACGAACTCGTAGGTGCACATCATGATGGCTGTATTGGGGATCTGTCTGACCAGATGTGTGGTGAGTCCTCGGTAAAGAGCTCGATAGCTTTCCTCTCTAATCACCATGCTGAGACTCTGGAAGAACGAGCGGTACTTGGTACCTTCTTCCCTTAGCCGTGTGCGGATAACCTCTGCAGAACCAAACAGAAAAACAAATATGCTCAGAATTGGTTACAATCTATTAATAGTGAACTTGAAACCCAAAATGATACCGTTTGTCTCCCTTTTTACTTTTTATATACCATTCAAACATTTAAGGTTAGAAAGATTTTTTAATGTTTTTTTTAAAAGAAGTCTCTTATGCTCACCAAGGCTGCATTTATTTCATTACAAATGTCATTGAAAATAAAATTAATGTTATTGCAATTTAAAAGAACTGTTCCCAATCAATAGAATATTGCCATCACTTTTACTACCTTCTGATCACACTGCAAAAAATAAATAAATAAATACAAATTTAAAAAGTATTCTTCCTCAGTATTTTTGTCTTATTTTCTAGTTCACACGTCTTAAGATTCTTAAATCAAGATATAGTTACTTGAGAAGCAAAACTTGCTTTCTGTGAAATTGATCAAACTGAAGTTACGATGCTACGAGAATACTTTGAGCGCAAAAGAAAAAAAAACAATTTGTCTCCACCCTTGCGCCATTTTGGAGAGTATCCACTGAACGTAAACTGCGTATACTGTTTTGTGTCAGCTGCGTCACGCGGATACTGTGTTTTCGTTCAAATCAAAGCGTAAATGACGTAAACAACGTATCCGCGTTGCACAGCTGACACACGAGTATACGCAGTTTACGTTCAGTGGATACTCTCCAATATGGCGCAAGGGAGGAGATGAATTGTTGAATAAAGTCGTCTTTTTTTTTTCTTTTGCACTCAAAAAGTATTCTCGTAGCTTCGTAAAATTACGGTTGAGCCCCTGATATCACATGGACTATTGTACCGATCTCCTTGCAATGTTTCTGGGCCTTGATCGTGGGAGTACCCTTGCTGTCTATAGGAGGGCCAGAGAGCTCTCAGAATTCATCAAAAATATCTTAAAGGGGTCATATGATGCGATTTCAAGTTTTCCTTTCTCTTTGGAGTGTTACAAGCTGATTGTGCATAGATAAGATCCCTGAAGTCGCAAAGACTAAAGTCTCAAAACCAAAGAGATATTCTTTATCAAAGTTAAGACTCTGCCACGCCCCCCTAAAACGGCTCGTTCTAACACGCAGACTGCGCTTGTCAGAAGGACATATTCTGTTACACCAAATACACAAAAATAATGATCTTTAAAAAAGCATCATATGGGTATAGGTCTTACGGGTTTGGAACCACATGATTTTTGGGTGAACTATCCCTTTAAAGGTCCCATGGCATGAAAATTTCACTTTATGAGGTTTTTTAACATTAATATGAGTTCCCCTAGCCTGCCTATGGTCCCCCAGGGGCTAGAAATGGCGATAGGTGTAAACCAAGCCCTGGGTATCCTGCTTCGCCTTTGAGAAAATGAAAGCTCAGATGGCCCAATCTGGAATCTTCCCTTTATGTCGTCATACGGGGAAAGGTTACCCCCCCTTTCTCTGCTTTGCCTGCCCAGAGAATTTGGCCCGCCCATGAGAAAATGAGCTACTACCGTGCGAGACGAGCGCAATATTTTTTTTTCCTCGAGACATCATGGCTTGCAAACGAGCGAAGCATGGCAGTTGCCCCGCCTCTCTCCTCCTCATTAGCATTAAAGCTACAGACACAGAAATGGCACGTCCTAAGGAAAGCTCATTGTAGGACTGGCTCGTAGTGGCTGAAATTCTGCACCAAGGCTGAATTTCGGGAAAGAGACTTCAGATACAGTACTATGGACCACTTAGGCCTATATAAAAGCATCTAAAAAGCAGCATGTCATGGGACCTTTAATGCATCCTTGCTGAATAAAAGTATTCAAATCTTTTGAACCGTAGTGTATGTAATATTATGGAAGTAAAATAGGTTGTGAATGATGTTTTATGTTGACTTCTAGATGCTCTGATGGTAAATGCACATGCTCACCGTGTGGATAGGCTATAGATGTGGCGCAGGTCTTGGAAGTGGCGGCTGCCAGCATCATGCCCACGAAGTCCGACGCGTCCTTGGCTGTGTCCTCGGCCCCATCCATGTGCGTTGCTGCTTTGGCCTCTAAAAGACGTCGTTTTATGCTTTCATAGATCACAAAGTGAATCACAGTCTCCGAGATGCCCGCATAAGAAGCAGACATGCCGCGGTAAAACCCGCGTAGACCATCCGTCTGATACACGCGCCGCACACACTCAAACGCATTCATGCGACGCTCCCCGCGTTTCCTGTGCAGAGTCAAATACAACACTTAGTCTGGAATTATGAATAATAAGCACTAGGTCATGTTAAAATTATAATCTACTTGTATAATGCCACATATCTGTTTGCATTTACCTGGCGTCCAATTGTAGACGTGTCTTAATTAACCAAATTGGATTGGTTGCTGTTATAGCCGTGAACCCTGATTGAAGTAGAAGAGGAAAGATTAAGATTCAAATTTACTGAAGAGAAATTATATGACACTAACAGATATTTAGCAAAATTAGCTATTTTCATACACTAACTTTTTTATAACACACTACTATTCAAAAGTTTGAGGTCGGTAAGATTTTTTTTTTGAAAAATGAAAACTTTTGTTCAACAAGGATGCATTAAATTGACAGTAAAGACCTTTGCATTGTTACAAAAGATTTCCATTTCAAATAAATGCTGTTCTTTTGAACTTTTTATTCATCCATGAATCATGAAAAAATATATCATGGTTTCCACAAAAATATGAAGCATATGTTTTCGACACTGATATTAATAAGAAATATTCCTTGAGCAGCATATTAGAATGATTTTAAAGATCATGTGATTTTAAAATATATTCAAATAGAAAACATTTTAAATCATTTGAAAATATCACTGTTTTTACTGTATTTTTGATCAAATAAATGCAGTCTTAGTAAACATAAGAGACTTCTTTCAAAAACACTAATAAATCTTATCAACCTCAAACTTTTAAACACTTTTGAATATTTCGGTTTTACATAAAGGGCCGTCCTGAGAGCAAGCATGTAACTATTAAACAACAGCAGGCAGTGCAATCATTTTCTAGTAAAATCATCCAAATTCATTTTGATAAAATAGTTGTTGTTGGACATTACATTTAGGTTTAAAATTAACCATAGAAAGATCATGTGATTTTAAAATATATTCAAATAGAAAACATTTTAAATCGTAATCATTTGAAAATATCACTGTTTTTATTGTATTTTTGATCCAATAAATGCAGTCTTAGTAAACATAAGAGACTTCTTTCAAAAACACTAATAAATCTTTATCAACCTCAAACTTTTAAACACTTTTGAATATTTCGGTTTTACATAAAGGGCCGTCCTGAGAGCAAGCATGTAACTATTAAACAACAGCAGGCAGTGCAATCATTTTCTAGTAAAATCATCCAAATTCATTTTGATAAAATAGTTGTTGTTGGACATTACATTTAGGTTTAAAATTAACCATATTTATTTGCAATTTGTGTTCTTGTTTTTCTTTATTGTCATTCAAAACTTGATTCAAAGTGTCCTGCCGCTTTAAAACCGGACTAAACATTTGTTTTTGTTTACATCTTTGCACAGTGTGAGCATAGTTATATATATATATATATTTTTTATAGCACTGAATTTGCACATTGTTTGGAGGAAAACATTGCAGCTCAAAGTTACAGCCCTAGTTTTCAACCAATACTGCACTCCTCACATGATTTTCTTCTGAAGTTGAATGACTTTCTGTCTATCATCTTCATAAACAATCAAAAAGCAGCTTAAAGGTGTAACAAAACTCTAGCATAGTACGAGCGTTAATCTAAATCCTCCTTGGCAAAAGTCCAGGTGACAGGAGACCCACACACGCACACACATACATTCTCTTCTGGCCGTGTGCCAGATCTTTATTGAGTGCTTGAGCGCGGTGATATTTATTAGCCTGTTACTCAGAGATACAGAATGGAACAAAAGAAAAAAGTTGCAATTCCAATCGCCTGGACAAATCGACACATGCAATTAAGCAGTAAACGGTTTATATTTTATGATCCCATCAAAACCGAGGAAACAGGATGTAGTTGGATTGCATGCTCAAAGTTACCTGCAATCCCAGCAGACGTCATGTGCACCTGCGTGGAGTCTGGCTCAAACACACAGTTCAGTCTCTCCTTTGAGCTGGAATAGGCGGCGAAGTAGATGGCCCTGAAAACACAGCAGGACACATGAGTAACAACACACAACGCTATTACACCCTACTGATCTACAACAGACTGGTCAGGCTGGTTTTGGCCACTTTGGTCAGTGTGGGAGACCAGGATGCCAACCAGATAAACCAGCTGAACACCACCTTGGCCAAGCTTGGAGACTTACTAAACAATCTGATTACATCATCTTGGCCAAGTTTGGAGACTTTTTAAACCAGCCAAGACAAGCAAATCACCAATTAGGCTGGCTTAAAATGTCATTTTCAGGAGGAAAATTGGTCATTAGCTGGTCCAAGTCATTTATTATCTGCAACAAACTAACCTCATACTAGTTTAAGGTGGGTTTTGAAACAAGCTGGTTGGAGGTGACCAGCTAATTTCTATCTTAGACCAGCTAAAAACTATCTACCAAGTTCCAAACACAACTAACAAAGATAATGATCTTTCAAGAGAATAAATGCAATTCTGCCATCATTTTTACAGAATTGTTCACATTCATAAATTTATATTTGGTTTTCATAGCCTTGATCCCCCCCCCCAATAAAATACAGAAATGATCTGATTAACATCATATCGGCGAGACTGGAAGACTTACTAAACAGAGCAAACCATTTAGGCTGGTTTAATATGCTCTTTGCAGCAGGAAAACTGGTCATTAGCTGGTCCATGTAGGTCATTATCTGCAATAAACTAACATACTAGTTCAAGGTGGGTTTTGAAACAAGCTGGTTGGTGACCAGCTAGTTTCCAGCTAAGACCAGCCAGAAACCATCTACCATGTTCTAAACACAACTAGTAAATCTTAGCTTAAATCTTGGTTTAAGATGCTCTTTTCAGCAGGTAAGCTGGACATGAAGACCAAGATGGACATTATCTGCAACAAACCAACCTCATACTAGTTTAAGGTGGGTTTTTGAACAAGCTGGCTCATCAACTAATCAAAGACCAGCTCATTTCCAGCTCAGACCAACTAGAAACCATCTACCATGTTCCAAACACATATACCAAAGCTAAGCTAGATTTTTCCAAATAATAAATGCAAAGCTGCCAAATACAACATAATTTTGCTCCCCGCCTTCTGAAACGCCCATTGGGTGACTATGATGCCTACGTAGGCAGCTCACAAGGACAGCATGTTCCTCACAAACCCTCACATGTAACCGCAAATGTTTGCACATGTAGTATCCTGAAGCTCTTAACCAATGGACTGATGGAACTAAAACTCTATATGTACTTTTCAAGTCTTAAAGGGACAGTTCACCCAAAACTGTGGCACACAAAATATTTAGGAAGTCTTTCATTGTTTTGGACAGTCAAAAAACACAGAGTCATTTCTCAAAATATCTATTCAGTTCTAAAGTTGAGAGTAAGTCATACAGGATTTGAACAACATGTAGGTCATTAAATAATGACAGAATTTTCCTTTTTGGGCGAACTATCTTTTTAATTGGGGGCTCAGATTACCCCAAATTTGCACCCTGCATGGCTGATGTCTGACCTGTAAAATAACCCTAAACTGAATGCTGTTTTTTCCAAGCTCTGTAAATTTGCAGCTTTAATGGTTGAGCAGGGATTGCATCAGTCACACTGCAGTCAGACTCACATCACTTCAGCACACACAGCTCAGGACTACACGCTCTTACTGTAAATGCTTTCTGAGATAAAGGTGTTTTGATCTGCCTGTTTAACTGTATGAATGGACAAACACTCACCGTGAAGGAGCCACTCCAATAAGATTGGGCCCCAGGCCCCGAAATAAAGAACGAGGGCCTTCCTTCTCAAGAATTAATCTGAGAAAGACAGAGAGAGAAACATATCAACAGAAGTGCATGGCAAACGTACCAAAATGACACTTTTGTTCTGAATGGCTTTGTGAACATTATAAACACAGTCTGGAGTTGGTAAAGCATGTAATGTTGTACCTGGGAAATATTTGGGGGATATGTCTTATATTTCACTCCAAAATTTTATTCAGCATGAAAATGAATTCTAATGTAAGGACATTTAAGATTTTTTCATTGTGACTTCATATTCATAACAATTAAGCAATTCAAGCAAATTGGTATTTAACCAAATTCTTATGCAAATAATAATAACAATAATATTGCTTGTTGAATTATATTTATAGATAAAATGGGGGCTTAATTGTCATGAAAATGACACCAAATAAAACTTAGCGGCCCTTTAAGCAGGCCACAATTTGATTATGAAAGCATTTATATATTCTTTTTTTGGAACAATATTTTGCTATATAAATGAGTCGATTTTGTGAGACATAAATGACATTTCTTTGTGAGAATCACCAAAATATTTTTTAATCTTTCGATCAGCCAATAAGACACACCTCTGAAGAACGTGTTCAAACAAAGAAATACCTCAAAGACAAACGGAAAACATTTCTCTTGTGTTAGGTGTGAGAGCTTATTGGCGTCACACACATACAGTATAAAAGAAAGTCATAAAGAGAAGCTAAAGAAAGATTAAATCAAATGAATGATGTTTTTTATATTCCATCTTGGACTTCATTAAATGCAATCTTAATACTCCATTTATTCTTTAACCCCAGTGGTTCGTAACTGGCAGGTTCCGACAGAAAAATGGGCCACATAAGGTCATGGACATCAGGCAAGAAAACAATGCTAGATGGAAATAATAAAAAGCAACTACCCATGTAATTGGGTGTAATTTGGCATAATTGTTATTAAACTTATCAACTTTTAAAAAGGAAGCAAAAACACTTCCCATAGCTTTTGTTGTTGACGTCAAAGTACATGCGTCCAATCAAAGTCTACAATACTAAGATGCGATTTCAGGTGTCAAAAAGCCAAAATAGACAGATGCCAACATGGACAGGTTGTGTAACAAGCCATAAACCGTGAAGGAGTGTATATGATGTCAGAGTCATTTACTAACCGTATTAAATTAATAAACGAGACCAAAGTCGATCTAAATGTCTTTGTGTTTACTATTTTGGTACCTTTCTGTGATGTATAACCCGAGTTAAACTATGAGGACGAGGGGCCCGTTTTGAGAGCCAGTGATTCAGACAGACACACACACACACACACACACACACACTCATCAACCAAGAGCCAAGCACCAGGACGCCGTGTTTTATTGTGAGGGCAGTGATTGGTTGGGTAAGGGGGAGTGGAAACCACTGTGAACAGTCTCTTTATAAAGAAAACAGAAAGAAAGAGGCAAAGAGAGGGCATTATAGACTTTATGCAGTATGCGCTGTATTAAAGGGATAGTTCACCCAAAAATGAAAATTTGATGTTTATCTGCTTAGCCCCAGGTCATCCAAGATGTAGGTGACTTTGTTTCTTCAGTAGAACACATATGATGATTTTTAACTCCAGCCGTTGCAGTCTATCAGTCGTATAATGCATGGCAATGCTAACAAAATCTATGAGAGTAAAAAAAACATGCACAGACAAATCCAAATTAAACCCTGCGGCTCGTGACGACACTTTGATGTCCTAAGACACGAAACGATCGGTTTGTGCCAGAAACCGAACAGTATTTATATCATATTTTACCTCTAATACACCACTATGTCCAACTGCTTTGGGCGCGCGCACGGCTTCCGGTGCGTGAGGTGTGTACGTGCTCTGGCGTAGTTTACGTTAATGGGTGTGTTGATATCCAGCCGTAGAGCAATCAACCATAACTTCAGGCGAGCAGGCTCAGAAGTTGGGAATACGTGGAAAGTCACGAAAGTTTGCGCGAGAGAACGTAATCTTTTAATTTTAAGTCAGTTTGAACAATCCGGATAAGTGCAAGTAAGTACCATTTTGATTAGCCGTCGTACCTACAATGACTGTGCACTGTGTAAACAATGAGTGACGTATACGCGCGAGAGATCACTTCCGGCGCTTGCGTAAACTATCTTTTTTTTTCATTTAAATAAATAAATAAAAACACATACAGATGCCAAATAAACTGAAAATATGGTCATAACAAAATTGCTAATATTCCCTTATTTTAACACACAAAACTCAAAAGGAAAGTTAAGAAGTCTTGGCAAAACAACAACCTCCAGTAATTGTAACCTTTCAAAACTTTCAAACATGAGAAAATGTTATCTAATACAAAACATACAAAAAACTAACAAAACACACACACACAAAAAAATTATTTTATATCTTTAATATGAAAAATGTATAATTTAAAAACTAAAAATAATAGTTGCTGTGTATATACATATAAGTTTGGGATCAGTAAGATTTTTTATTGTGTTTTAAAGAGCTAATTAAAGAGCTAATTTAAAGGCTATTTCTGTGATTTAAAGCAGAGTTTTCAGCATCATTACTCCAGTCTTCAGTGTCACATGATCTTCAGAAATCAGTATAATATGATGATTTATTAACAATGTTGGAAACAGTTGTGCTGCTTAATAAACGTAAAAAGAACAGCATTTATTCAAAATAGAAATCTTTTCTATCCATTTAAGTGTTTATTATCACTTTTTATTAATTTAACACATCCTTGCTGAATAAAAGCATTAATTTCTTTAAAAAAATACAAATAAATTAATGACCCCAAACTTTGAACGCTAGTATATATTGTTAAAAGATTTCTATTTTGAATAAAACAATCCTTAAAAAGTATCACAGGTTCCAAACAAATATTAAGCAACAAAACTGTTTCCAACATTGTTAATAAATCAGCATTTAAGAATGATTTCTGAAGATCATGTGACACTGAAGACTGGAGTAATGATGCTGAAAATTCAGCTTTGATCACAGAAATAAAATAGATTTTAAACTATATTAAAATATAAAACCATTATTTTAAATTGCAATAATATTTCAGATTATTACTGTTTTTTTCTGTATTTTTGATAAAATAAATTCAGCCTTGATGAGCAGAAGAAAAAGAGCAAAAAAAAATCTTACTGATCCCAAAGCTTTTGAACGGCAGTGTGTGTGTGTAAGTGTGTGTGTGTGTGTGTGTGTGTGTGTGTGTATATGTATATGTATGTGTGTGTGTGTGTGTATATATATATATATATATATATAAAGTAAACGGTGTAAAAAAATATTTATAACAAATAAAATGAACTATTATTACTATTATTGATAGTAGTAGTTCTAGACTCTAGCTGTTTTAAGTATTAAACGATATGTAAGTTAGTTTGTTTCTGTAATCTTGAAGAGTAAAGCTGTCTCACCCTCCAGCAAACAGATGCACCAGTGTGTCTCTCTGGCTCATCTCGGCTCATTCTCTCCGGGATGCACCGGACTGGGCAGCAGTGTCCGTGTGGCGCTCATGCGGGTCACCACCAGCCACTTTAGGCAACCTCAAAGCATTTCTGCGCGGCTTCGCCTCCAACAAACCCCCGCTGATCGATCCACGGGCGTCGCTTCTTCAATAGTTGGTCTGAAAGTGAGTCTGCGGTGAAAAAGTGACTGCATATCACTGATCTGGGTCAAAATCCATTTGGCAGGTCAGAGCAGGGGGTTCAAAACGAGCACGTTTGCCCCGCACGCAGCTCACCTTCTTCGTGTTCACCCTCCCACTCACATTCCGCGACGCGCTCACGGTTCATTCCGGCGATGGACCAATCAGAGAGCGCAAAACAAAAGCGTCTATTGGTCGACTTTCAGTTGACGTCACCAGAGCCCGCCTCTATCAAGCGCCTTTCACGTGATCTGTGCTCTTTCACATACTAATTACTCGAGGGTTACATATATGATCAAACTAAAATAAAAAATGACAAACTTTGCCAGAAATAACTAAACTATATATTCTGTGCCTAGTACACAGAAAAAGTACTTTGAAATAATTCTCCCTCAGAAATTGCCAATCAATTTTAAAAATTTGTAAGTCGCTTTGGATAAAAGCGTCTGCTAAATGACTAAATAAATAAATAAATTTCTCAGATGTTTACAAAGAAACGCATTGAATTAAACATGAAAATCTGAAATCGCATTTTCTTGTAAAACTTACTCCAATAATCTTTTTATTCCCAACTTCTTATAACTAACCTCTGCACTCTTTGGTCCCAGACAGTGTTTATTTTTATTTTTCTTTAATCATTTTTTTTAATAATTATTATTTTGATTTTATTATTTTTTTTCCAATGGAGGATGTAGCATTTGTCAGGTCTCTTTTTATAGATACAGTTAGAGATATTTATTTTATTATTTAGATTTTTTATTTTCTAAATAAAGGGCTTATTTGGCATGCAGGGATTATTTTGAGCTTTTTGTCATTGTGATTTTTAGACCTTTTTGTTTCTTTTGGCATCTGTGAATGGGAGGAGAAAAAAATTATGTTCAAAACGGAAAACCTTAAGCTGTACTTTGACAGCAAACAAAAACTTTGTGCGCAAAACACACTCTTTTATTGACACTATATGTTTTCCAAAACAAACTCTTTACCTGGGCAGCTTACTGAAAATTTACCATAAATCATAACATACAAGTTTCTTTTGTCTGACTGTGGAATTTCTTTAATTAAAAAAATTGGAAATATATTAAATAAAAATAAATAAATACATAAAAAAAAATTATAA